AAAAAGGAAATAAACATGGTTTTGCACATAGCAGCCATGATCCTCCTCTTTTCATGTCCTCCTCTGGTGCTCCTGGCACCTCCCTCCTGCGGAGTGCCCCCACAGCAGGCAGCTTGCTATGGTTGCACGCAAGCAGGCTCACTCCTGAGCTGCTACTCTGCATGTCCATTCACACACAGAGTAGCTCAGCCTCACTCCCTCTCTCTCCTCATTGGCTCACTGGCTGTGGTTGACAGCTGTGGCAGCCAATGGCTACCACTGCCATCTTAGCCAATGAGAAGGAAGAGTACGCGGAGAGCCGAGGCTCTCGTGCACATCGCTGGATCGCTCCCACTGCCGTCTTAGCCAATGAGAAGGAAGAGTACACGGAGAGCCGAGGCTCTCGTACACATCGCTGGATCGTTCCCACTGCCGTCTTAGCCAATGAGAAGGGAGAGTACCCGGAGAGACGAGGCTCTCGTGCACATCGCTGGATCGCTCCCACTGCCGTCTTAGCCAATGAGAAGGGAGAGTACTCAGGGAGCCGAGGCTCTCGTGCACATCGCTGGATCGCTCCCACTGCCGTCTTAGCCAATGAGAAGGGAGAGTACCCGGTGAGCCGAGGCTCTCGTGCACATCGCTGGATCGCTCCCACTGCCGTCTTAGCCAATGAGAAGGGAGAGTACCCGGTGAGCCGAGGCTCTCGTGCACATCGCTGGATCGTTCCCACTGACGTCTTAGACAATGAGAAGGGAGAGTACGTGGAGAGTCGAGGCTCTCGTGCACATCGCTGGATCATGATGGGGCTCAGCTAAGTATTGAGGGGACGGGGGGCTGCTGCACACAGAAGGTTTTATACCTTCATGCATAGAATATATGAAGGTATAAAACCTTCAGCCGTTACAGTCACATTAAAGTGGAACTAAAGCCATAACCTTAATGCATAACTAAACCCCTAAGCAAAGATTTAATATGTTTCAGCTTACCAATGACTAGATGTGGCAGCATTAGCTTTCCTTTTTCCGGACTTTTAATCCTCTACTTTTATGGGGTGATAGTTATTCACCCACTTCCTGTCGCAGAGTGGCTCCATTAATTTCTCCAGTATATCTATGGAGGAGGAATGTCGCTGCCCTTAGACAGCAGCGACTGTCTGTTTGACCTGACTGCCCTTTAATCTGCCTAGACGGAAGGGGATGGATCCCCTTCTGTATCTTTTTAGCAGAGTGGATCGGATTGGAGGTAGGTGGGTGAAAATGGACAGAAATCCATTTACACCCACCAATCTGTGGCGATATATGGGCTGGAAAACAATTTCAAGTGGACATGATTGGAAAAGGGCTTAACACTTATTAAGCAATAGTTTATTTTTCCTTGTGGGATACAGGTTTACAATAGGTAAATGGGACTAATAGAGAGGGTGACTACTACTTTGTATCTCTCTGAAGAATGTTTATGAACAATGTTACTTTGTATCTCTCTGAAGAATGTTTATGAACAATGTTACTTTGTATCTCTCTGAAGAATGTTTATAAACAATGTTACTTTGTATCTCTCTGAAGAATGTTTATAAACAATGTTACTTTGTATCTCTCTGAAGAACGTTTGTGAACAATGTTACTTTGTATCTCTCTGAAGAATGTTTATAAACAATGTTACTTTGTATCTCTCTGAAGAATGTTTATGAACAATGTTACTTTGTATCTCTCTGAAGAATGTGAACAATGTTACTTTGTATCTCTCTGAAGAATGTGAACAATGTTACTTTGTATCTCTCTGAAGAATGTCTGTGAATAATGTTACTTTTGTATCTCTCTGAAGAATGTTTATGAACAATGTTACTTTGTATCTCTCTGAGGAATGTTTTATAAAAAATGTTACATTCTATCTGTCTCTTTTTTTTTTGGGTCCCCCGCTCTAGCATGGGGGGGGGCATAGAGAGGACAAGTCCGTGATTCTGTAGCTTGCTGCCTGGCACACGTGGATCCCTCCTGGCTGCTGTGGTTGTAGCTTGGTGGGGACTATTACTTGTCCACCACTGTGGCTGTGGGACCTGGATTGCACCCTCTGGCACTGTCTTCATGCCCCTTTGCGGCAACCACACTGGTCCTTGACATGACAGCTGACATGTGTGTGTCAGTTGCGTGGTGCCATGTGACATAATCGTGCACTTTGGGGGCATGGTGACACCACACACCGCCATGTCGGGGGTCCCACGATGCACATCACATTTTCCACACTTGCATTTCACTGCTAGGGACCGCATTAGCCATGTAGAAAGACACTCCTTCTTACTTCTATATAAATATAACACCTACTTTCGAGATACTTACCAAGGCGGGTTACCACACTTGTACACCCAATGGGTAAGACCTTTTACATATTTAAAAGACTTATTGGTGAATATTCTAGATATTTTTATTCTCGACACAGTTAAAACACCCTAACTCATAGGTGTCAGCTACATTTAACATCTTGTTTCATTTTCATTTTAACATCTTGAATATAATATTATCCAGCATGACATTCCATTTTGAACTGGCTACACAATTATAGTTCTTTTTTTATTTAATGTGGATTGGCCAGACAGCTTTGTGGCAATTTTGTGGGATTCTTGTAGCAACGTTACAGATTGCGGGGGCGCTGCTGACAGACCCCTGGCAACCTTATTATTATTATTATACAGGATTTATGGCGCCAACAGTTTTGCTCAGCACTTTACAATATAACGGGAGACAATACAGCAACAATACAGTTCAATACAAGAGGGATAGGAGGGCCCTGATCCTTGGAACTTACAATCTAGGACCTTAGGTGGATGGGGGCGCTGTTTTTCCCTTTTTCCATGAGTTGTTTTTACTCAAACTGGATATGGTTTCACTGACACATTCATTCATTGTACGTTTTTCAACTTTCAAAGCATATACATATACTGTACGGATCTGTTGGTTTTTCTGTAATTTATAATATATACTTATGTATAGTTACACCTTTTACAATATGCAAAGGAAGAAGGGTTGGTCGCACACCGGAGGAATGATGAATGATAATGATAGATTTATAACTGTTGGTTATGATGAAGCACGTGATCGTGTGAAACGCGTTAACAGCTCTGCGCATGTACTGGTGCTATTTGTATTTTATGGAACACAAAATCTATCATTTAATAAACAAACAAGTGATGCTGCGCTGCTGACACACTGTACAAAAAAGCGTAACTAAATAAAATGTCCCAAATTTAGATCATACACTGTGAGATCAAACAATTTTGATAAAATAACAATTCTTCAATAAATCTTGTGGTTTCTTCTTATATTAATGCCCCAAAGCCCATCCAGTGAGATTAACCCCTTCACGCCTCTGGGTAAAACGAATCTAAATGCCTAAGCACAATTCTGCAACGTTGTCATGTGTTAGTAAAACCGCACATATCATCACAACCAGGGGTGGACTGACCATTCAGGCACTGCCCCAGGGCCCAAGGTCCGTAGGGGGCCCCATGAGGAGCCCCTGGTACCTTTCATAGGCTTTTTTGGGTGTGGTTTGAGTGTGGGCAAGGTAACAGGGGCCCCATGATCCCTTATTGCCCGGGGGCCCCATGAGTCCACCCCTGATCACAACTACTTTGTACATCCAGGTGGATTATACCTTGATTTTTTCAGGAAAAATTGGGCTTTCATTTGGTGGTAAATGGTAATGGATATCTCCTCCTTTTTTTTTTTATTATCAAAGGAAAACTGGCCCAAAATAGTAAAAAAAAAAAATCTTTTTTTTTTATTTAGCCGTGTGTTTCTTGTTACTACCATAACCTACCACCACAGAACAACCCAAAATAATTTTCCAGCTCTTGACGATCGCAGCGATACCATATATGTGTATGTTATTTGTTGTTTGTACACGGAGTACAGCCCAGAAACAATAGTGCGCATTTTGTTTTTGTCTTTTTTTTTTTTTTTACCTAAAACACACTGACACTGACACTAACTGATACAAATTTTTTTTTAAAAAAAATTATGACCTTTGACTCTGACCTTGACCCAAACACTAACCCTGGCACTGCACTAGATTAAACCTTGATCTAGGTATTTTTCTTTATGTTTTTCTTTTATTTTTAAATTTTTATTTATTTATCTTTTTTTTACACACATTTTATCTTCTCTCTATGCCAGGAGTTAGAGAGATACAATGTATCTCTCTTCTCCATTCATAGAGAGAGAAAAAAGCGAGGGGGCCGGGCTGCACAGTGACTGATCACTGTGATAGCCAATCAGAGGCTATTACAGCGATCATGTGACCCGACCCGGAATCGGGAGTCTCGGGTCCCGATCGTTAGAATGGGACCCGGGGCTCTCAGTGACACAGCGGTCTCTGTGCTGGGAGTGCGCCGACCATCACAAAGACAAATACGCAAATATGCTGCCCCACGGAAAAAAGCCCAGTTCTGTGAGGCCGCATATTTGTGTGATGTCGACATCAAGGGGTTAAGCAAATCATAAAACGGTGCCACCTCCGTGCTCCCAGAACTCTCACCTTAGACCACATGAAAATGTGCTTTGATAACAAATAGACAGAAAAATTTTCCACTTTCCTAATCCATAGCCATACGGTCGTAATCAGACATCTGAAGTGTGCATTTGACTGTCAGATCAGAGCTAGGGATCGGTCTCTTTAGGAGCAATGGAGGTCTCATATATCCATCCTAAAAGGAACAAGAAAAACTCCCGTGGTGCAGTACATATGATCAGTAATATTTATTAATAATATTGTTACTGGTCCCAGAAGACTACGGGGAGGGAAAACTTCCGCTTCTGATCACCTAGGTGATCAAAGTGGAAGTGGGTGTGGGTACCTGTCAAATTCGGATACCCCTCCCCCATTCCCCAAAGGTGACAATGCTTAACAGGGATCGGGGGACAAAGCCTTAAAGCAGAAATTCCCATTTTGGGTGGAGCTCCACTTTAATGTCTCATCACACCTACACTTCCTTGTGGATTCAATGGCAACTTTAAAATAGGAACCTGTTCCTTGCTTTTCCTGTACTTCCGGTTGTGCGGTGATCAGCATTGCACAGCCCTTACCTGTCTCATCCGCCTGTCTTTTCAACCTCAGTGTTGTTTGTCAGCAGGGGCGGACTTGACAACTCATGGGGCCCCCGGGCAATAGGGGATCATGGGGCCCCTGTGTCCTTGTCTGCTCCTCCCTGACCCTGCTTCATGCTGTACTTCCCTCTTCTGTCCAGGGGCAGACTGAAAACTCATGCATCCCCCGAGCAATAGGGGATCATGGGGTCCCTGTGTCCTTGCCCAAACTCAAAAAAGCCTATGAAAAAGGTACCAGGGGCATCTCATGGGGCCCCCTACTGACCCCGGGACCTCGGGCATTGCCCAAGTTTCCAAATAGTCAGTCCGCCCTGTCAGACTACATGGGTGACATAATTATGTCTCTTATGCAGATAGCAGACATTAGCCCACATTACCCTGGCTGATACCTGGGCAATGTGCGTAGCAATGGCCAGTTGTAGTCTCCAATAGAAGCCTATGTAACGGGGTGACAATGCGGGGCTACAACTGGGAGACGAAAACCCAGCATTGTCACCCTGTAACCCCGTAAGTGTCTGAACAAGGATCACCAGGGATTACTTTAACCTCTTGGCGCCGGCGCCTCCCGGTCCTTTAAGAGTTTCAGAAGCCGGGAGGCGGGGCAGGGTTTTAGGGTCATGTGACCGCCGTGATTCGCCGTCACGGCGGTCACATGATCGGAAAAGGTCCCGATCGAAAGGGGAGATTGGGACCTTTCTGGGAGTTGTGGACATACTGTATGTGCTGGGAGCGTGCAGAGCCCGCGCTCTCAGCACATATGCGATTTCTAATTGCGCGCAAATCTGTGGCTGCTCGGAATCAAGGGGTTAATGAAAGTTGCAGATTTAAAAGACTGGAAATGAGATCTGAAATGACATGAACATGTTAAAGATTATGTGATGGGGTTTCCGTCTAGTAAGGCTCCATTCACACAGATGCGTTTTTTAGTGCTTTTTGCAGAAACGCACTACAGTCCATTTAACATGGTTTCCTATGGAACATGCTCTCATCTATGCAGGGGCGGACTGACAACTCATGGGGCCCCCGGGCAATAGGGGATCATGGGGCCCCTGTTTCCTTGCCTAAACTCGAAAAAAAGCCTATGAAAAAGGTACCAGGGGCATCTCATGGGGCCCCCTACTGACCCCGGGCCCTCGGGCAGTGCCCGAGTTTCCAAATGGTCAGTCCGCCCCTGCATCTATGCTTTCTTGAGATGCTGCATTTTTGGAAAGGATCAGGGACTTTTTTTAGAAGCAAAAAGCATTTTTGCTACAATAGAGTTCAATAGAGAATCTGCTGAAATACATGGTACTGCGTTTTTGCTGCGTTTTGCATTTTTTTTTGCCCAGCAAAAAAAAAATTCTACTTTAAAAAAAAAAACAAAACTGAACAAAACGAAATACACGGTAAAAACACCTCAAAAATGCGTCAAAAATGCGTGTAGAAAAACGCAAAATGAACTGTGAAAAGCACTGCAAAAGGGCCAAAAAACAAACTGCATAGGTGTGAACGGAGCCCTAGAATGCAGACATGGAATTTGGACGGTAGACTGTAGCTGTAACTAAACAGCATATGGTCCATGTAGCATATTGAATTAGCCCATCTCATTAATAACTCAGTAAACAAACAGGAAAGGTCAGTGAGCTGACCAGATGGCTGGAGTTAATATTGAAGAGAGGAATCTGCATTTTTCGCAGTCAGGGCTTTTGAATTTTGGGAAATAATTAACTTGGGTTATCACTTTTTTTTTTGCGTTGGAAAACCACAATATGTAGTGTAAGACTTCATTTTAACACATGATTTATGGGAATTAAAAAACCTGAATAATGGATACAGCATGGGAGTAGACTGCATGCAGAATGTTATATTATACCGAGTTATGTTTATTCATTTTTTATGGTCTTCACATTTATTTAGTTCAGTTGTTCATGGAAATAATCAATTATGTATCCATAGCAGGGGCGGACTGACCATTCGAGAACTTTGGCACTGCCCGAGGGCCCGGGGTCAGTAGGGGGGACCCATGAAATGCCCCTGGTACCTTTTAATAGGCTTTTTTCGAGTGTGGGCAAGGACACAGGGGCCCCATGATCCCCTATTGCCCAGGGGCCCCATGAGTTGTCAGTCCGCCCCTAATCCATAGGGTGGTACTCAGGGGCGGACTGACGACTGAGTAACAGTCCGCAATAGGGAGTATAGACATCCAAAAGTTGACGCGTTTCGAGGACTTGCCTCTTCCTCAGCGCAGTGTTGACCCAGCTGTTCTTTATGATGTGCCTTGACTATATTGTCGTTTGTGAGTACAACACATACTTTATTTGTTATTAAACATTTTTTATGGTAATGCACTAGGCCTGTGCGCCCTCTGTTTTTTCTTTCCTCATTCAGTATATTTGGATTTCCCCGGTCCATTTGAGGGCAGCAAGGTGTGCATGTTCCAGGACATTCCTTATGTGGTTGTAGCGCGCATTGAGTCCATCCCCAAGCGCAGGAGCATTTGTGTTTGCTGGTTCTTTGCGGACTGACAACTCATGGGGCCCCCGGGCAATAGGGGATCATGGGGCCCCTGTGTCCTTGCCCAAACTCAAAAAAGCCTATGAAAAAGGTACCAGGGACATCTCATGGGGCCCCCTACTGACCCCGGGCCCTCGGGCAGTGCCCAAGTTTCCAAATGGTCAGTCCGCCCCTGGTGGTACTATGAATGGCCTGTTCATATACTGTGCCTCGTCCTATAACATGACTGAAAAAGACGACTGAAACTGAATGGACTTTATAGGCACAGACACTTCGAACAATGATTGTTTGGTGAAACCTTGACTGTCTTTATTACAAAAGAAAAAACACATGATAATATATAAGAGAGGAAAAAACAGTGATCCATAACAATGATACTACATATTCATCACAAAATTATTATTATTATTATTATACAGTATTTATATAGCACCAACAGTTCGCTCAGCGCTGTACATTACAATGGGAGACAATACAGTAACAATACAATAAAATACATGAGGGGTTCGAGGGCCCTGCTCCTTGGAGCTTACAATCTAGGAGGGGGTATACCCACATGGAAGAAAAATATATTTTAAATATATTTTAAAAATATTCTTCCCAAATATATTGACATTTATTTGAAGTATATATATATATATATATATATATATCCCTGGCCATGCGGGATCTCCTGCATGGTAGGGGTTGGGCATAGACCTGGTAACCTGCCCTGTAAAAATAATTGCTAAGAGAATTCATGGAAAAAGTCGCTTACGAGTGACGGTCCATACAATTGCCAAGGGCCGGATACGACTGAACAGATAGATAGATAATATTTATGCATATATATATATATATATATATACAGTCATGGCCGAAATTGTTGGCACCCTTGATATTTTTCCTGAAAATCAAGTATTTCACACAAAAAAGGTATTGCATTAACACATGTTTTGCTATACACATGTTTATTCCCTTTGTATGTATTGGAACAAATATAAAACAGAGGCAGAAAAGCAAATATGACATAATGTCCCACAAAACCCCAAAAATGGGCTGGACAAAAGTATTGGCACCCTTAACTTAATATTTGGTTGCACACCCTTTGGAAAACATAACTGAAATCAGTCGCTTCCTATAACCATCAATAAGCTTCTGACACCTCTCACCCGGAATTTTGGACCACTCTTCCTTTGCAAACAGCTCCAGGTCTCTCTTATTGGAAGGACACCTTTTCCCAACAGCAATTTTAAGATCTCTCCACAGGTGTTCAATGGGATTTAGATCTGGGCTCATTGCTGGCCACTTCAGAACTCTCCAGCGCTTCTTTGCCATCCATTTCTGAGTGCTTTTTGACGTATGTTTGGGGTCATTGTCCTGCTGGAAGACCCAGGATCTTGGACGCAAACCCAGCTTTCTGACACTGGGCCCTACAGTGCGACCCAAAATCCTTTGGTAATCCTCAGATTTCATGATGCCTTGCACACAGTCAAGGCACCCAGTGCCAGAGGCAGCAAAACAACCCCAAAACATCATTGAACCTCCACCATATTTTACCGTAGGTACTGTGTTTTGTTCTTTGTAGGCCTCATTCCGTTTTCGGTAAACAGTAGAATGATGTGCTTTACCGAAAAGCTCTATCTTGGTCTCATCTGTCCACAAGACGTTTTCCCAGAAGGCTTTTGGCTTACTCAAGTACATTTTGGCAAACTGTAGTCTTGCTTTTTTATGTCTCTGTGTCAGCAGTGGGGTCCTCCTGGGTCTCCTGCCATAGCGTTTCATTTCATTTAAATGTCGACGGATAGTTCGCGCTGACACTGATGCTCCCTGAGCCTGCAGGACAGCTTGAATGTCTTTGGAACATGTTTGGGGCTGCTTATCCACCATCCGGACTATTCTGCGTTGCAATCTTTCATCAATTTTCCTCATCCGTCCACGACCAGGGAGATTAGCTACAGTGCCATGGGTTGCAAACTTCTTGATAATGTTGCGCACTGTGGACAAAGGCAAATCTAGTTCTCTGGAGATGGACTTGTAACCTTGAGATTGTTGATATTTTGCCACAATTTTGGTTCTCAGGTCCTCAGACAGTTCTCGTCTCCTCTTTCTGTTGTCCATGCTTAGTGTGGCACAGACAGACACACAATGCAAAGGTTAAGTGAACGTCTCTCCTTTTTATCTGCTTTCAGGTGTGATTTCTATATTGCCCACACCTGTTACTTGCCCCAGGTGAGTTTACAGGAGCATCACATGCTTGTAACATTCTTATTTATCCGCAGTTGTGAAAGGGTGCCAATACTTTTGTCCAGCCCATTTTTGGAGGTTTGTGTGACATTATGTCGAATTTGCTTTCTTTCCTCCCTTTTTTTGTTTTGTCCCAATACACACAAAGGGAATAAACATGTGTATAGCAAAACATGTGTTAATGCAATACGTTTCGTGAGAAATACATGATTTCCTGGAGAAATATCAAGGGTGCCAACAATTTCGGCCATGACTGTATATATATATATATATATATATATACACTGCATGTTAAATGTTTATATATTACAACATATATGGAAAATATTTTTTAAATATATATTTTTTAAATAAATTCTTTTTTTTAAATATATATTTTTTTAACATATAAAAAAGTCATTTTCACATATATTTTTACATATATTTGTAAATGCATTACAAAAATGTAGATTAAGTGTATTTTTAAAGACATACAGTATATTTGAAAATGTATTTTTTTTTATTTTTCATGTATTTAGTAATAAAAATGCATTTCAACATACAGTCTACATATATATATAAATATATTAAATATTGAAATGTATTTTTAAATATATTGAATACGGCCAAAAGTGTAGTATTTCAAATATATGTCAATATATTTGGGAAGAATATTTTTAAAATATATTTTTCTTCCATGTGGGTATTGCAACCCTATACAGTACATGAACAAATTGAAACCTCCAAGCTCCTTGACAACAGTATAAACGATTAGGTACTAAAAAGATCACCGATGACTGAGATGACCTTGGACAGTTGTGTGGATATATGTAAATTCCAAATGGGGGCTATACCAATTTCAAATGAGATTGGCTCTACATGTTTTCTGACTTTGCGTTGCTTCTTCAGGAGCTAAAAGGGTGTGTCTAGAACAAATGGATAAAACAAGATTTTTAGGTATACATGCATCTATAAAACCAAAAGATGTACATACAGTATGCATACATTTATAACACCAAAGTGTACATCTATTACAGTGGTAAATACTCTCAAAAAGGATATTGTTAGTAGTTAACCATCAAAGGAAAAGAAGATGCGTTGGAACTGATGTCCAAAACATGGCACATTAGGGAACCAAACCAAAAGCCTATCAATAATTGGTGTATTACATGCTGTTTACACTCAGTCACTATGGGATTCATTTTCTGTATTCTGCAAAAAACCTAGTTGATCCTGCTGTTCTTTCTCCCCTTCCTGTCCTTGTCCCCAATGCAGTTGGGAATTTTGCAAAGCAGTGTTGGCAGCTACTGCACATGCTCAGTTTTCAATGAGTTTCTATGTTGAGCATTTCTTTTCCATCACATCTAAACAGCCCATGTGACTATAGAGTCATACATGTGGGCATATACACAGTGGTAAATGACAGCCCACTCCCTCCCTCCTACTCCATGCCAACACAATGGGAATGGGATTGATTGA